GGAGCAGCTCGCGCTGACTGTGGGTGGTGGGGGAAGAGTGGGCAGGCCGTGCCAGGGAGGCAGACGTGGCCCGGGAGATGCCTCCCCCAGCCCTAGTTAGTGTGGGCTGTGCCTGGAAGGGTGTCCTGCCTCGCCTCTGTTTCCAGCAGGCACCCACTGCAGTCAGGAGCCCAGCGGGTCTGGGGCGGCGGGCGGGGAGCCTCCACAGCCGTGCATCTGATCTGGTCTCCTTGATGCCCTGCTTGCATTTAATGCTGCGTCTCTCCTTGTCTCCTCTTTCTTCCTCGCCGCCGTGGTCTTCCGTCTGTCCCCGCGGGGCAGGATCATGCCGGACCAGATCACTGTGTCGGAGTTTATTACTGAGACGACGGAAGATTACAATTCCCCAACCACGTCCAGTTTTACCACCCGGCTACAGAACTGCAGGAACACCGTCACGCTGCTAGAAGAGGTACAGTAAATCAACATTTGCCCTCTCTGTTTCAGCTGCGGGTGCTGCCCTGCTTTCTTCACAACTAGGATGCGCGTGCTCTTGGGCGATAAGGGGGTCCGGGGCTCCTCTCCCTTTTGAAAGGTTTGGACGCGACACGAAGCGGAAGGCTCTCTCTTGCATATCCTGCTATTTATTTTGCATTCACGATGACACTAGGGGCAACAGAGGCAGGATTGTTTGGCCATATAATTATGCAGAGGAAATGGTTGTACGGAATGAATGAAGCTTGATATATCTTTGGCACAGGTGAAACAGTACATAATTAGTGGCAAGGACAAGCAGGAGAGGAAATTGCTCACAAATGCGGAACCCGGGCAAAGTGACTGATGAGAAGTTGGAAGATGATGAAAGTAGGGGAGACAGTAAAACAGGATGCAGTGTTGTAGGTTATTGTATGGTAGCACTAATGTGCTCGGTCTGATCCATTTTTCTCAGTGTTAAATGTCAAAATCGGGGAACATGTGTGTCGTTCTTAACATCTGCAAAATGTGTGCACAGAATGGGCTATGTAAATGTTTTGGAGTAGAGACTGTGTTTTTCAAGAATGCATAGCAGATTTATAGAAAACATTTCTGCAAAATGAAACTAAGCTAATATACTTCATTTTTCTATCGTGTCATAGCTACATAATTCTTTAAATCGTTATCCTGGCATCTTACAGCTAGTTGTAGTTGTATATGGGTAACGCTATAGAATTAATCTAGTATTTCACAGGCGTTGTTTAAATTATTGCTGGCAGAAAATGTTTTCTGGCCTTCTTGAAACGGAATAGCTTTAACTCCCTGACACTGAGATTGCACTGATAATGTTCTTGCTTTAGGGAAAATAAAATGACATTCAGAAAGATTGGTGGTAATTGTGTCCTGATTCAAAGAAGTCTTGCTTAAAGCGATTTTAATGTTGTTAAGTAATTGGATAATAGAACCGGAGGGTAAAATCAATTGCGTATAAATGTCTTGTTGGAGGAATGGCATTGTTTCAGATTTGTAACTTTCTACTGTGCTCTGATGGTTTGATAGTTTTTGCTGCGCAAGTACTATTATGTACAAATAATGAATGCAAATCAAATGCTCTTATCAGCTGCTCATACAGCCTAAGAGATCAGTATGTTATGGGGTGACTATGTTTGATTGTACAAGTGGTCCTCAGCACCTTTTGCTGGCTCTTCCAAGGTCTGGGGACAATGTTGAGTCCTGAGTCATCAATCCTCACGCCCTCTTTCAAGTCCCATTATGTCATCTCTAAAGCTTTCTTCTGAAAAGGTTTGGTAAGCTCTTAGATAAAAGAAAATCAGAGCTTTGCTTGCAGTTTGACCAGAGATAATCACCCCTACTGCGCCTATTGATCATTGGGTTTCCGATCCCAAAAAGATATGAATGAAGAATTGCTTTCTGTGATCACAAGTCATATGATTCTGTCATCTTGCTTGGATCCAGGTGGGGTAGCCGCTGGAATCTGACAATGCAGGACTTTTTCTGGGTGACCTTACAGCTTTAATAAAGTGCCTTTGAGGATTGTGGTCATTTAGCAAACAATTTTAAATCCTGTTGTAATTGTGAAATAGGAATTTTGGAAAAGACAGTATGTTACTCAAGGACACGCTTTTGCCAGATAAAATGTATTTACAGTGGCCTTCTGTTTTGGTTACATATACTTTGTGTATCAATCTATGAAAAATCTAGTCTTTTACTAGATTTTTTTCCATGAGATTATTGTACTGAATGGAGGAAAGAAACTGCTACACTTTGGCTAAAATGTATTAGGAAAATATTTTCATTAAGGCTGCAGTCGTAAGCATCTTGCGTAAAAGTAAACTCTCTTGAAATAAATTGGATACAACTATTATGTCAGCATGTGTTCAGATCCTTGGGAATGTTCAGAATAGTGAATTTAGAGAAGAGCTAAGTGTTCATTCTTTTTGATAATCCTCAGAAACATTGTTGGACTAATTTTCAAACTAGGCAACTTCAAGGTGTATGGACTTCAACTCCCAGAATTCCCCAACCAGTCATGCTGACTGGGGAATTCTGGGGTTTGAAATCTACACATCTTAAAGTTGCCAAGTTTGAGAAACACTGGACTAACCAGTAAGGAACAGGCCTTTGTTCCATGGCTTCTTAAAGCAATTTAATACATTTCCTTTCTTTGGTTAATCATTGAATCGGTGATTTTTCTTGGTAAGAATGTGACAAATATCAGTAATTTTTAAAAATATTTCATTTTCCCTGCTAACAAGAAAGCAGAGAGATGTGATTTTCTTGTTTTGATGTCATAACAAATGGAATGGAGAGAGGAAAAAAGGAGCTAATGGAATTCAATAGTTTTATTTATTGTAACTTTGTTTTTTGTCTATGTAGCAAGCCAGATTGTTGATTGCTTGGTTTTATAAGGACTTACAATTTTTAATAACTTTTTAAAGACTTAAAGAACTCTCAGAATGGCTTACTGAAAACTACTTAGTGAAATGTTTGAAACAGAAATGGTTGCAGTTGATAAAATCCCCACTCCACCCCCAAATTATGTTTTTAAGAATAATTACCAGTATTTTTTTCAACATAAAGAGTTCTAGATCACCAACGGAAGACATGTTGGGGGGGGAAACTGTATTGTGCTCGTGCAATACTTTTATATACTACTAACAATACAAATAATTAGGCCAGGACAAGATAAATTTTCTGCATGTTGTATACGTTTGCTCAGATGATACAACGCGGAGGTCTGTGATGAGTATTTATTGGAAATCTCTCTATATGTTTTCATACTGTTTTCTCTGGTACTCTCTTTCATTACTGTGGCAACATTGACTTATTGGAAGTATTCTCATGCTGCTTTGACCTTGAGCTTGAAACGGAGCATTTTAGAGCGTCACAGAAGACAGCCAGCATTTTGAATGGAACTAGACCCAGTGTGCCAAAATGGTTACAGCTTCTTGCCTGTTTAGGTGCATTTAGGGTCATTTGCCTCCTTTGAAGCCTCTTCAGGACAGTGCCAGATCGAGTTTTATTATCAAAGCTGGTAATCCACTGTATAGACCAGTGTTTTTCAAACTTGGCAACTTTTTAAGGTGGGTGGACTTCAACTCCCCAGGCAGAATAGACTGTCCATTCATCAATAATGGGTGGCTGTATAAATCAGATGGATGGATGGATCCATGCATGCATGCATGAATAATATGACCAGTTTCAGGTTATTGAGGAAAGGTATCCAGAAGGCCTATCTGTTGTAATCAATAGCAAGCATGCAGAAGGTGGCATTTGAAATGCTTTCCATTCCCTTAGTAACAACCTTGCTCTGGGTCATGTGATGAGAAGGGAAGGAAGTATGGAGCAGTCACCAATATTCTGAGCCACTGCCTAATTGTTTCTCCCATAGGAATGCATTGGGAATTTTTTTTCTGGGTTTTTTCCTTGCAGCCTCTAGTCTGATCTCGTCTCTTTTTCTCACTTGATATTTCTTTTGTTGGCTTCTACCTCCACACCAAATGTGATCCCATTCTGTTCAGTTTTTGGACAGTTGTCCTACCAATGGACAACCCTTTTACATATGTTCTTTCCCACATTCCATTGGGTTGGAAAGAATAATTAAGAAGAATACCTCCTTGTAGAAACTGGATTCGGGAATTTAGGATTGCTTTTTTTATTCTTCCCGTGTTGTATCTTATTGGGTTATTTTCTATTGCATTTTACAACAATTTCTAAACTTAAAAGCTTGAATATTAAGCGCAATTAAAGCATAGTATTCAAATTGTCAAAATAGGATAATAAAATATTTGAATGACTATATATTCATTCCTGGTAATCATCATTATGCAGTTTGACTGTATGTGTATTGTGTATTGTGTATTGTGTATTGTATTGTATTGTATTGTATTATATTATATTATATTATATTATATTATATTATATT